TCCAATAGGTACATACCTATTATATTTATAGCTATTTGAGATGTAACATAATCGACCGGACTATCTTACGCGGGAAAGAATAGAATAAATCGGTTGGCCAATGGCCTCATATTATGTCACCGGAATATCAAAAACATGCCACATAAAGTCATTGATAAGTTAAGTTTAACAAATAGAAAGTTTGATTGTTTGCTATAGATGTTAAATGGCTATAACTACCCGACTACCTATCTAGGTATATTATATGTATGTAAGTGGGTACTCCCTATATAGGTATTAAATAATTGTTCACCTAAACAATAGACACCTAACCTATTATAGGTTTTATATGTTGCTTTAGCAACAAAAAGTTTACCCCTCAATTCTTAGGTAACGACTCGTTAGTCGTCTTAGGTATAAGTCCTCAGTATAAAACAAAATTTCTTGAGATAATATTTTGAATCAACTGATTTTACATTAAAAGCTCATGATATAACTAATATAAGTAATGTATAATAATGCTCTAAAAATGAATAAAATCTCATAAAAATACTAAAAAAATATAATGATCTAATATTTCATAATTTCATATTCTATCGATTACTTTACAGTTGAATGTTGGTTATTTGTTATGTATTTATGTTAGGTACTATCGGGGGCAAATGTAAACTGGGCCCGAAATTACCTTTTTTATTGTAAACTCGGCCCGAGAATTTTAGGTAATAAAAATAGGTAGATTGTAAACTCGGCCCGGAAATTGCAGGTAGTAAAATAAATCGATTGTAAATTCGGCCCGAAAACATACATAGAAGAAGATTCTATGTTTCCGCCTGAAATGTGGGCCAGTGCATCAGTTGAAACGTATTTAACAACAAATGCATGTGAATCATTTCATGCGCATTTTAATTCAAGTTACCACTCACCCCAATATGGCAATATATATTCCGTTATTTCAAAATTAAAAGAAGTACAAACAGAAACGTACATTAAACTCAACAGCCTAGATGCACCATTTAAATTCCAAAATATAAAAACTAAAAAAAAAAAGAACTCTTAGAAAGAACACTTACAAAATATAAAAATAAAGATATATGTGAGTGAATATGTAAAATACATGGCTTTTTACTTAAAAAAACTAGATTTATATATTATTATACTAAAATTTTTCACTCATTATTTACACTACAATTTTACTTATTTATTTTTTATTATATTTTTACACATTTTTACACTTATACATTTATATAAATACATTAATTATTATTTTATTATCAATATCATAACATTTTAATTACATTTTTCATTTAAATAACGAATTTCATACTATGAATAATAATATGAAAATGAAAATAATTTTTGGAGGATAATGAGAACCGCCTCCTCGTAGTGTCCTCTGGGTAATGCTAAATGTTTCTCAAAAATATTATAAGAAAAATCATGGTTTTTACATCTAAATAATTTTTACCTGAAAAAAACCCGGGCCGAGTTTACATCTAAATAATATTGACCTGAAAAAAACCTGGGCCGAGTTTACCATCGACCTTTTGAAAATGTTTTTTCTTCGGGCCGAGTTTACAATCTCCCACTATCGGTTATCAAATTCCAGTAGCCGATGGAAATTCCACAAAACTTAAGAGGTACCTAATTACCTATTATGTAATCATAATGTTAAAAACCAAAATAAAAAATATCACCCCGATTTGCAGTGAAACATCACGTAAGGTAAAAATCAAAAGGAAAATAACCAATAAGTAAAGCCATTTATGATTTATTTCCGGTACAAAAACTACGATACAGCAAAAGATAATTAAATAGTTTCATAAGTTATCCCGATACCACTATAATACCATTATTGTTGTATACTTGTATAATTTGGTGACATACATACACGACATAAAGGGATTGCAAATGGACAATTATTTCAACCCAAATGTAGCAATCTTTTATCAATCATGCCGGTAGACCTATAACGCGACAAGACTTCTGAAAACTGATTTGAACTCGCCAATATGTCAACTTGAGATCTAACAAACCACTTTTTAAAAAAAAAATTGTTCCTAAACTTCTATATATTTTGTTTGAATATTTAAAATGCATGAAATTTTAATTGTTGATTATTCGTAAATTAAATTGAATATCTTAAAATGCGGCCTGATAAATCTGAAGAACTAGACGTATTAATGAATTCAAATCAGTTTTCAGAAATCTTATAGCCTTATCTGGTCTTGCGGTAGGATTAACAAAAGATTAGTACATTTTGTTGAAATAATTGTTTCACCTATTCTGAGCTTATACTGAGTGCTGTGCAATATGCACCACTAATGATCATTTTACTACCCACACATTTACAAGACCCGCTTGGGTACAATTTTCAAATTGTCTGTTTTGATCTCCTTAAAAACTGTCCATTTGCAATCCCTTTAGTTCCCTTCTTTTTTATAATGGTAAGTATACCTACGATAACGGATAAATTAATATCAAATTGATAATACCTTAATTATGCATTTATACTGTAGGTAGCTTATTTATATTATTTAATGTATTAAATCAATGAATAATCGTCTGGCATGTATATTTCATTTTTTTTATACAAATTAACGTTTATAAACGTAAATACTAAGTACCATACAACTAAATAGGCACTTAATGATGCCTATACTTAATCATCCGTATTCGTATTTTTGCTTAATTCCAACCAACAACGTTGGGTAGAGTTAGGTTATTGTGATCAGCAAAGTTTGTAGCTTTATAGGTACCTATGATACATTTTCACTTTCATCTCACTTTTCAAGACCGATATGATTATTAACAAATTTCTTCACAGCGATTAATTTAAAAAAAAAACATACTATTTCATTCTATTGGCGATAAAAATGATACAACCTAAAATCGTAAATCGTAGTGACACCGAACACCGAACACGTACGCACTTCAGGTGACAGGTAGTTCAATTGAACTAGGATGGGTGCCAGGAGGGCAAAAATAATTGAGAATACTTCCCAGTCTTTTTGATATAATTTTATTAGACACAAAAATGTTATTAAATTATTTGAATACCTACTATTAGTTAAGCCCGTTTCTCAATAATTTGAAGAGGTGGTTGGGCCAATCTAACTATTTGAACGCCAGTTTAAATCTCATTCAGCGCCACTGGTAAATCGCATAGGTACAGCACAAAATTGCAAATCGCGTTCGGTGGGGCTGTAGTGCTGTACCTTGTCCACAACTGCACTCCGTTTGTTGATGTTTGGTAGATTTGGTAAACCACTAGACCACACGTTCACAACCATCCCTGGTCCAGCGGTCCTTATATTATGCTTTGTACTTAACGGTTTTGACGTATTATGGCTGCAAACAAAAGGACCTCAAAATAAATATAAAGTGGTAAAGCCAATCAACAATTTGTCAGCGTTAAGACTTAGGACGTGTAGTTAGATGCCTATCTAAACACACGTAAACGATAGAACCTATTTCTTCATATTATTTTGTCTTTCTTTCAGGAAATTATTTTTAATTTCAGTAGCAGTGGTGAACACAAGGAAATTGATTAATCCATGACAAAATAAATATTTAAGTTAGTTACATGTATATTTTGTCATGGGCATTGTAGACCTCAAATTGTTCAGATATCACCTCAACCCCCCCCCCCCCCCCCCCCCACCAAAAAAAAAAAAAAATTATTTTTTAAAAATATATACATTAAACTCAGTGAGACCTAGTAATCTTTTCTGATATTAAATTAAATAAATAAATAATAACGTAATACTTATGTTTGATGAGTATTAATAATTTAGGTATACATAATAAAATAATTAGAATGATTTGATTGTTATAATTCTTAAGTTATTTTTAATGTATTCTAGTCTGGTATATTTTTGGAATTTATAGATTTTTCCTGTCTCGTGCAAGAAATGAAAACATTTTATTTTTAATAATCTATGAAAATTTAAAAATTTTACAACTTATCGATATTTTGTCTTAATGTTATTGAAGTACTTAGTATTTTTTGGTTAAAAATAAATTATCAGGGGCGTGCCTAGAAATTTTTTTCGGAAGGGGTTTCTATCTCCAGACCTAGCCTAATCAAGTTCCACATATATATTATATTATGGTCAAGTTAATTAATATTTATTTTTTTCTTTGGGGAGGGGGGTGTTCAACCTGAAAAATTTAAAAATAACGGGGGTATATACATCGCTGTGTGGTAATTGAAATGTATTTTACAGACATAAAAAAAATGGACCTAATATGGGTACAAAAAATGTGTCAAGACACAAATTGTATATTGAATATACCTAAGTTGGATAATATAGAAATTCAAATAGACAATCAAGGGAAGCAGACAAATTACCTAAACAGTATAATATTATACATTTTTACCACAAATATATTATGCAGGTTAATAAAAAACAGACCCTCTAACTTAGGCGTTAGGCATAGGACTACATTTTCCTGTAGTTATTTATTTTAAATTATATAGCTTAACCTTTAACTAATGGTTATCTCCTTTACACTTTGGTGTGATGTCATCTCACTTCATTGGGGGTCTAGTCTTGATACCAGTACACTAATCTAATACTGTAGTCACTAGAGTCTAGTGCATAGGTATCAAGTTATGGACAGTGCAGAGTTAGTCTGCTTTCAGCACTTGTTATTTTGTGAGTACATTCAAATTTTAAAAATATCAACCAATACCCGTGGCATACAGTCGTATATTTTTTTTCAAGAAAAATAAGATGTGTGGTACTGTGGTAGGCAATTCAGGAGCAAAGATGTATTAAGTTTGTGGATATGCATATGCTATGTATAAATAACACTGAAAAGACAGGTAAATAATTAAATTATAATTATATCAACAATTTATTTTCAAAATCTTGAAAAGTTAACATATAACTTCTATAAAATATATTTTAATCTTTGTAATAATTTTATAGCAATTGGTACCTAATATAAATACATCTATGATAAACAGTATAAAAAAAAAATTACAACATTAACATATCTGAAATCAAAACATAAACTGCTATGATTAATTAAATTTATATTATTATCACAATAAATCTTACTAGTTAAATAATTTGGCCAACATCCAATGCCGATATTATACAAATAAATATATTTGTAAAAATAAAACAATAAACAATAATTTTATTCTATGAATTCTTTAGATAATATTGATATTATTAATAATTGATTATTATATAGTGTGGCCAATCGTTTCAGGTTTTATGGGGTGTTAATGGTTTTAGAACTCGATACTCGAACCTCAGTATCCCAAAGAAGTTTTTCAGAACTTAATGCTGTAATCATGGTTTGAACATTAGAATTATAGCATTATAATGTCCCATAATAAACTACAATAGTACTTAAGTAAAAAAGGGTTTTAAATTATTTTTACTTATTGGTTGATAAATTTTTTCGAGAATCTTTTAATAAACAGTTATCACACAAAAATATGCATACAATACAATAAATACATAAAAAAAGGTAAGATAAAGTTGGAATTTGTTATACCAGATTTTATAAAATCAAAAATTTGATTAGGTCACCCTATATTAATAGAAAAAAATTAATACTTCTGACTAGATTTAAAGTTTTTTAGAGTAAATATAATAGTAAAATATTAACTTCTCTTATCTTTCAATTCATAAATATTGGACATACCTAATTAATAATATTAATATATTATAATTTATAGAAAACCATACAATTGTTACAACATTTCATACTTTTGGTGATTAATAATTATTAATTTTAAATTTTAACAGAAATATTGCAACATATTGCAGATTATTTACCATCACATTTTATTAAAATATGCATTTAAGACTAAGCGGCACATTTAAATTTTATTGGTAGTAAAACTTTTACTACAGAGCCAGATATCTTGGTACCATAGTGACCAGCCCAATACTGTGTGTCAACTCCAGAATGATAAAGAATTAAGTGGGATGCATTGCTCTGATTTTTAAATGAATGTGAAGCCTAAAAAATAATGTTAAATAGTAATTTTATTAGTATGATTTGAATCAAAACATTATAGATTTATAATATTAAAAAACACTACAAACTTTTGTCCAAATATTAGCCTCCCACTGAGGTAAAACATCATTGTAATTGTGTTGTTCTATTAGTCTATCATTTCCATCATGAACAGTTGCCCTTAATGCGTATTTGCAGCCACAATCAAAACGACCAGTATACCTGCAAATAATTTTAATGTATTATTTTGATCTAAAGAAAATATCTTAAATGTATGTATTACCATTCACTAACTGAAATTTCTGGTTGAAGAGTTTTCATCACAATATCATTCAAACCATAATTTTTGAATACAATTTTTTGCCTCTTTGAACATAATCGATATGTTGATACAAAACAGCTAGTATGCCCATCAAAATCGGGATCATCAGGTAATAAAGGTGCACCTTGTGGTGTTTGTTCAATAGTCCACCAATTATGATCATTTGTAATATTCCAATGTTTGTATTCATCTATAATCAATACAAAAATTGTTACAGATACTTGAACACTAAATAATTTTGAGTTTTGATCAGAACTGGGGTTATTTTACAATTTATGAACTTACTTTGTCCACAGTGGTTTTTCACTAAATTTCTATTGAATGGATCATATTTGCATATAACATGAAACACATACCATGGCAATTCCAGTTTTCTGACACTATTTGAATCAATTTGGGAGAAACTGTAGTACCCTCGACCATTATTCACAAATTCATTTTCTCGTGAAGCTTTTTCTTGAAACACATATGCATCTATAAGTTCTCGCCATCTTTTGCACACAAGTCTGCAATCTAAAAGGGTGTCTGCATCAACAAAACTTAATGTATATACTACCATTTCATCTGGTAGTAAATCAAATGGTTTATGAAGATTTTTTAATGGTTCCATCATTATAAATTTAATAATCAATGATATCTTGACAATTATGACATCAAAAGAAACAAATACAATACAATTTTTAAAACAACTTTTAATATTAAGCTAGTTCGACAATATACAAATAAAAGTTACTAAAAATATCATAATTTAAAAGCCAGCCGGTGGGATTATAATTAGTTATTTATGATTGAAATTATATTATGTGATACACTTTTAACTTCGGCAGTATAGGTTACTTATATTATAATTTATAATTGATAATTAAACTTTTATATTTTATACATTTTAATAATAAAAATTGTATATTAATTGTGTGATACAATATTATCTGGCTTACGTAATTCTTATCTTTTTTTAGTGATAATGAAATTATCTTTGACTATCATAGAATATAATTATATAAATATATTTTTTAAATATATTATTCTAATCAAAGCCCTAGTGCCCTACTTAATTATTTTGGGGCCTGGGCTAATTTTTTTTGTGGAGGCCCCTCAATCTAAATCAAAAATTCAGTTTTTTTGTTGCCTATATCGTTTTTTTATATTCAATTTATTTTAAGATAATAAAAAAATTATAGGTACCTGACTTATGGTACAAGTAGCTGCTAATTATTTTATATCGAATGGTATAAATAAAACTTAAATAACTCTGTTACAGTAATAAACAGGGGAAACAGTAGAACTATTTATGAAAATCCTTGTTTTAAACTTGCAATTCTTTGCTATACAAATTGCACATTTTACCATTTTTTACCCACAAAATAATTTGAAAATGTTGAGAGATTTTAATACATTTTGCCAAAACTTGAACTTTAAATACTTTTAAAAAAAAAATTTGTCAATTGATCTTTAATATTTATCAACTGCTATATACAACTTAAAAGGAACTTTTTATTAAATTTTAAGCTTTTTGACCCCAAAAAAACATTTTATTGACATTTAAAGAATAAAACACTACAAAAATTGAAAGTTGAAAATGTCCATAAATAACTCAAAACAAGTCAAAATATTTCTGTAATGAAAAGAAAATGATAAAATAAATTTAATGAATATTTTGAATTCCTATGGTCAATCGTTTTTGATTCACAATAAAATAAGAAAATCATTGTATGAGATTTGTCAATTTACGAATATCCAAATTAATATCCAATGTCTAACTTCAAACGCTCATAAAAAATGTATTTGAATTTCCGGTAAACTTTTTTTATTGTTATCTGTAGGAAAACTTAATGGGAATCTTGTATAAAAATATCAAATCTTAGATATATGTAGAAAAGTTTTTATGAATTACTGCAACATTTCTACAAAATTTTAGCTTCAACTTTGTTTTTATTCTCCACTAACAACAACTTATGAAGAACTACGTTGTTTTACATTTTCAAGTTTTGTGATAGAGCAAAAAAAATGCTATTGACAATAATTTAAAAAAAAAACTAAAACCAGAAATTTTCTTATGTCTATAAACAACTGCAAAAATTTATTTTACTTTTGACCCCTCAAACTACCAACTAGATTCACTTTTCTACCAGAAAAGTTGCTGTTGAAGAAAATGTCATTTTTACTGTCTCAGAAGGTAGGTATTGATGACAGAAAAACACTACATTTAAACTTACAATCTAAAGACTAAAATGCACGGAAAATATTTAAATTATCAGCAAATGAAAGAGTCTTTGAATCAGTTGAAGGTAGATCATTAACATATAAAATAAATTAAGTTAATAAATAACAAGGTGGGAACTCTGAGGGAACTGTATGAATATTAGACGTATAATTTTTTTTTATTATTATTATTTTATTACCTATGCATAATCAAATAATTTTTAGTTATGTAGGTACTTAATAATAATAAAATACTAGATATCCTTCCAATAAGCATAGTTTGTTTGACTAGGTGAGTTCAAATATGGAGGTTATAGGTAATAATTTGTTTAAGTTGCCAGGGTGAGAAAGAAAAATGTTTAAAAAAATAATAATAAAAAAATTGTTTGAAATGTCTGTTGAAAATTATTTTTTCAACTGTTAAATATGATTTTAATTGAGTTCTAAGTAAAATAGGTATGTAATTTATCATGTGCAATTATTGTGTACTATAAGTAGGTACTTGCCAAAAAAAAAAATGAAATAATTTATAATCCTTTTATTTTTTTTATAATTTAACCACGTTTCAATATTTAAAAACCGTGATTGATAATTGATGATAAAGAATAATATAATATTTTGACGGTTAAAATTTTTTCAGAGTTACCTGATAATTTGTAACTTATTGGTTTTTATAATAGTTAAATATTAATTAGATTACTAAAATATTATTCATTGATTTACTTTCATAGAAATGAAGTGTGTCTTAAAAGTTAAAAAATATAAAAGACTGAATTGTCTAATGATCTTTATTTGTTCTAAGTGTTTATTTATTTCCAATTTAAATGATATGAATTATGAATATATGAAGTTGTTTATTACTATACACACTGGATATGTCTGATTTTAATATAACATCATCATAACAATACACTTAATAAGAAGTAAGAGGAAGTAATTATTACTCGAGCCAAAATAGGCCAAACACATTTAACTCAAGCTTACCTCATCAGAAAAGAAACAGTACCAGTATATTGTGATACATGCAATGAAACACTGATAACAGAACACATAGTTATTAAACTGCAATAAATTCACTGAAGTCTGCAAGATCCTTAACAACCCTCTCACACTTCACCAAGCACTCAACGAAGAGAGCACAACCTCAATCATCACATTGTTCTAAAATATAAACTTCAGCCACAAATTATAAACTCTCTAAAACATGTCAATCTGTATATACTGTATTATTTAGTTTTAATGTATATTACATAGTTTACATTCCCTTTTCTAATATTGAGTTATTACAGGTCAAAAACCTTTGTCGTTGAGGCCTTAATGAATTGTTATTAAAAAAAATTAACTTAATAGAAAAAAGTAGAAAATTTCAGAACTCAAAAGCCAGAATACATGGGTTGCTTTACATTATGACTTGTTAGCTGTTATGACTAAACTATACATTTTATAATTCTGTTGTATAAGTTTGTGTTATAAATAAATTATTAAACAAATATTTTACCTAAAAAAGTATAATGTTGATGATTTGAATTAGTAGAACTATTATGATACATTTTATAAATTTGTTAATTAAACTATTAAAATTAATAAATTGTCACAAAAAAAATGAGTTGACAGTCGGAGTTAACATAATTTTATTTTAAACAAATAAAGAAACCATATTTAGGTAGTTAAGTGACACAAAAATTTTCACTCTGAAAATTGTACAGCCAGTTACACTTTACTACTAGTATAAAAAATATTCATAATTAAAATGAAAATGTAACTATAATTATGTAAAATAGTAACTAATATTCTAAAATAATTAGATCGATATTAATCAGTGGTAAGGTAAATCACAAGGAAATATGCATGTAATAAAATTAACTCAAACAAAATGTTATGTAAAGTAAAATAATAGTTATGTAAGTTGGAATGTTTTCACTACATATCTATGGACGGATCATATTTGCATATAGGTAGATATAACATGAAATACATAGGTACCATGGCAGTTCTAGATTTCTGTCTCTATTTTCATTAGTAATCACAAATCACTTACTTCCTCTTCTTTAATTAATAGAAAAACTCGTAAAATGAATCGTGGAATTACATATGAATTCGCAACTTTGTGCCATCTTTGGCACACAAGTGCGGCATTATAGAGGGTGTCTACATCGACAAAACTTAAAATGTGTGTGCAATCAATTCATCCGGTAATGAGTGAACAACGCTACGAATAATTTCATCATAATACATTTAATAACCAATAATATCTTGATAATTTTGACTTCAAAAGAAACAAATATAATACATTTATTTATTAATTTCTCCAACTTGCAAATCTTTCAATTATAATGCGCGGTTATTCTAAATTTCTAACGTCTAACGTGAAAACGTGAACCATGATCTAAAAACGAGTGTGAAACTAATGCGTCCTGCCATGTGATTACTGATGAGTACAAAATAAAAAATGTCAATTTTAACGTTGAAACCCGCGTAATTTTAAATTTTTGATTTTATCATTTTATCGGATAAAAACCTAATATTATAAGATTTTAGAAAAGACAAAGTTTTCTTTTCCCTAGAAGATTATGATCTATTAATTTTAATCTAAAATGTATTTCAATTTAGTTGTAACACTTGTTACAGATATATAGTACGGTAAACGAGGAATAGTTTCCAAGGGCCAAGGCCATAAATAGTACTCGAAAAAAAAAAAGAGTCGTACAGAGTGTAGACTCCATGGTTTTAAAGTCTGGACACTCGATTAGACCAGATAATACTTTGTATAGAAAAAATATCTTTAATTTCTGTCTCCTTCTTTCAAAAAATACAAGATTCATATGACAAAGTTGTAGTGGTACCTACATAAGAAAAACGTGATTGTCTAGGAATATCTCACTAACGAGATTTTGAACACCTTTAACTTTCAAGCATGATAATATTATGACATTTGAGAAGAGAAGACCAAACTATTGGTGCATATTAAGTACCTATTAACTAATGAGCAGGAAATAAAACGTTAAGTATTTACATGCGTTTTTAAATCTGTTTCAATAATGTCTAATAAAACGCAACATTTTCATTGCTTTACTTTTAACAAAATAAATATGTGGGTGGAAATATAGATTCGTATCGAAATTGACACCTAAGTCTTAAAATAAATTAAACTAGTGCAAGGTAAGAACTGTACACAATATAAATATTATACGTATGATTATTTTTACATTTAACAAATTGTTTAAGACCAGAAAAATAATAATACAGCAAGGAAAGTAGTGGATTATGAACGAAGATCTGTTCAAGTTTTATTTTTAATACCTCATAGTTCAAACTGTAAACAGCTTTGGAAAGATCTGTGCAAATTACATTTACTTAATGGCCAGAAAATGAAGCATCAATTATAAACTGCTCATTGGTATTATTATTTAGTATTATCCTATGTAATATAGTTATTCGTTTTTGATGCACATGTCTGTATGACTGTATGGCATATATCATTCATTATATAATTATCACTTATCAGTAAAATTTATTTTGTACATAGTTGGTGTAAAATTAAAATCTTATTGAAAGTTCAAAGAAATTTTATTTAAACAATTTCAAGGATATTCATGATACGTACTAATTTTGTTGATTACGTAAGCATCTAATAAACTTGTTTATTGAGTATTAACCATATACATATAAATATGATATATGGTTATCAATTGCAATAACATTTTACAAGATGTACAATTGTAGTAACAAAACCATGACATAGTTGTCTGGAAAGGATGCAACAAACAAGTACAAATAAAATAATTCTTAAAAAAAAATATCAGCTTATAAAATATGGTAAAATTAATAGTTATTAATTAATAATATAATATAAAATGTCAGTACAAATACTTTCTTACATTCTACTTATGTACAAAATGTAAACAATTATGAATTATGATTAATTAACTGAATTATGTATACAAATAAAATGTTTACAAAATCGAATAACATTTTAAAAATAAACACCTGCAATTTAATTTAATTTTATACAAATAAAGAAACCATACTTAGGTAGTTAAGTGACATGATAATTATCATTCTGAAAATTGAACAGTCGATTACACATTATTACTAGTATTAAAAATATACATTAATTAATGAAAATGTAACTTTAATTATGTAAAACAGTAATTTACAATTTAAACCAGTTTAAAATAAAGATTTAATTTTAATTTTAAGGTCAGTTTATAACTATAGAACTTATAATTAAATATAAGCCAATAATAACAATGATGATATACAGAATTAGCTGTTTTATTTATACATAAATAAATCTTAACTAATATAAGGAAAAACTATAAGATGTAAAAAAAATTATAGTTATAAGTGGCCGCATTAGCTGCCATTCACTTGCGCTAGAAAACACGTTCATGAAAACCTGAGGTAGCAGACGTGGACGTCCCTTGACTTGGAACGGTTGATGCTGGTCGCATAGCAGATGACTGGTGATTATTGAGTCTGCGTGGAGCCAAATATTCAAAATTACTTTGTGTTTGTTGAGACAACATTTTAGATAGATCGCATGGCATAGGATCTGTCCAAAAGAAGTCGTGATTTAAAGCTGAATCGGCATCAAATCTCTTGGCTGGATCCAATACTAATAGTTTGTCTAATAGATCGCAACCCATTGGATCACGTACATAGGGCTTTAATCGCTCCTTTACCTGAAAATTAAATAATTAGTTAAGCACTAATAAAACAAATTGGTACATTTGAATAATAACCTTTCGTTTTTGTCCTTTGACTAATTCCAATTGATTGTATAGATCTAAAGATTCAACTTTAGGCCAGACTTCTGGCATTATTGAACCACATAGTTGGGATATTAAAGTTAATTGCTGTTGCTCAGAATTACCCTGCATAATTGGACTACGAGTCCACATTTCAGCCATAATGCATCCAGCTCCCCATAAGTCTACAGGCGGACCATAATTACGATCACCAAGCAGCAACTCAGGAGGTCGATACCATAATGTTACGACTCGATTGGTATACCTAAAATATGGTTATTTATATAAATTATGTGGCACAGTGATTTATTAGCATTAAATGTTATTAACTAATGTTATTGTTCATTTATAGACATGCTGACAACAAATGATAACAGCTAATTTAAAGTATATTTGAAAACAAATCAAAGTATCCAAAAATAAAAATAGTATGATCACTTCAAAAGAAGTGAAGTGCATTTTAATATTTTTCTTATTCGGGTACACCAACATTTTTATTATTTTAGCAATTTAAAATACATGCAAATTAAGTAACAATCTTTTTTTGCTGATGATTATTAATTTATGGAATTCATTGAATAGGTTAAAAAAAATAATATCAAAACTTTAGGAAAAAAATGTATTTAGCCTGGCAGAGTACTATAATTTAAAAATGCTTAGCAATAGCAATATTAAACTAATGACTTCACAGACATAAAAACATTGTTTTTTTTTTTAACTAACTAAACATGAAATTACCTATTTGGTTGACCATTTTTTTGAGCACTGAACGCTCTGGCGAGACCAAAATCAGCTAATTTTAATGTCCCAGTTTTTGTGATCAATACATTTGCTGCTTTCATGTCACGATGCAATATCTAATATATATAACATAACATGAGTTTAAATTGTCACAAATATAGAGTTATAGAAGTATACTTTGTTGCTGTGTATGTAGTAGAGACCATTGAGCATTTGTTGGATTACTTGCTTAATCTCTCCAAGACTGAACTTCACCTTAGTATTTGATAGCAGGCCAGCCAAATCATGTTCACAAAATTCAAACACCAAATAAAATGTTGAACGATAACGATTAAACTGAGTGGCTATAAAATATTTTATGTGATATTAATTAAATATAAAAATAATTACGTTTAAATTATAATTACCTCTAGTTTGACAGATTTCCAATAGATTTACTACATTATCGTGTTTTAATAGTTGTAATATTCGAATTTCTCTCAGAGCAGTAATTGGAAACTAAGATTGATTAAAAAATATATATCATAATTAATACTAATAGTATTATATATTATAATAATCAGTAGGTATATATTTTTTAAACTTTATCTACAACATGTTTTAGGACTGGATACGACTTTTTTTTTTAACTGATAATTTTGAGTAATACTATGTTCATCAGCATAGAAACACAAAAAAATAAAAAAAAATACACACATGTTAAAAATCGATCTTCCTAATTTATTAAATTCCTAACAAAATGTAGTATGCTACATTGCTACTAGATATTTTTTCCCTATAGAGAAAAAAGATCATGTAGCATGCCATATTTATTTTTGAGAATCATCACTATAGGTGCAAATAGCATTTGTGATTAAGGAGGGCAAATACTATATTAATAAATAATAATAATATTAACGACTATATTAATATTGAATAAGTTTAAAAAAGAAATTAGGAAATGTTTGGGGGGAGGGGATTAGCACCTAAAGCCTATCTATTTGTTCTTATGATCACCACTCATTAGTCTTAAATATGTTTGGGCATCAAATCCCTTATAATATCTGGATTAATTTATTGCTCATTTTTTGGTACAAAATATAAAAAATGCATTAACTTACTCCTTCTTTTTCATTTTCCATCAGAATTTTTTTCATAGCAACTGTAAATTTAGGATTTTTTTTGTCTCGTGCTTTGAACACTTCACTAAAAAAAAAAAAATAAAAATACTTCTATATTAATTGTATTTTGTAACAAAAATAAAAGTAAGTGAATATAACTACTTAAAATTAAACTAAAATATCAATTTTGAAAATAAGTTATTATTTATATACTATATTAGTTACCTAAAAATGTCTATTTGAAAAACTATTGTTTTGAAACACCAAAAATATTCAAGCTAGAAGTTGTATATTTAATTTATTTAAAAAAAATAGGTTGTATGAATATTAAACAATAACTCAATCATCTGAATTATATTTTCAATAATAAAATGATGAGATGATTATCATTGTAAGAGAAAAAAAACATTTAATGAAATAACATAACATGTTAATATTTTAATGTATACAACCAATGTGAAAAAATATTTAATTATTTGCGAATTGGATTAAACATATTGGCTATTTAGTGGTTGTCAATGTTATTTATCTTATATTATAGTTATATAAGAAGATTGATATAAAAGTATAATCATATTATTATTACATATTTTAAGATCAACACAAAACAATAAAATATATATTTTTAACAGTAATAATGGAAATGACGAAAGAGAGCACTGTATACTGTAATGTATAAAATATACATAATATAATGTTAAATATTCAACAAACGTGCAATATAATTGTATTTCAAATATATAGTGCACTTTTCTATTGTCCAAACCTATCTACACAATGCTTGTCCTGTAACATGCATGTATTAAATATTTTTGAATCAGAATAAGAAGTTTTAATTTTTTAATGACTATCAATTTTAAGGTAGTTTTTTAAGCACTACGGTTTTTAGGGAACTTAACACTAAAATCCAGTTTTTAAAAATTTTAACTTATACTTTCAGGTTATATTGTCTACCTTAGGCCCAGTCTAGACCAAGAAGCATTTGTTGGAACACATGTTTACAACAAATTTTCCTTTGGTCTGGACGGGAGCTTTAGGAGCACTTTATCTTGACTACCAAAATATTGCCAAGACTACTTGGTATAATCTCCAGGTTATCTTAACTACCACAATTTTGCAATGAAAAGGTATATCATCAACACTATCCTAGCAAAACCGTATAGCTAGATACTCTGTTAATTGAGATAACTAGAATGATTATAACAGTAGTCTTGGAAATACTTGGGTGGTCAAGATAATCCGGAAACATTTATTTAATTAATAAAAGTAACTTTGTAACATGCTTATAGGGTTTTTATCTGATCAAAAATTATTAATTGTAATTTAACAAACTTCCGTTCAACAAAAAATCAAGATAACGGGTGTTAATGTAAAATAAAATGAGAATAATTATTTTAATAGATTAAAAATCCACTTAGAAAACTTGTAACTACAGTCTTGCGCATTTTTTTTTTTTGTTTTATATTTGTTTAAAATATAACATTCAAGTGTATCATTTTGATTTTTTTAGGGCAATACATTTCCAACTTCAATTACGTTCTATCTATCTATTTATCTTGTAGATTAAATAACAATAACATAATATTATTATTAAATACCCAAATGTGCCTTGACCAATCTTTGCTAGTTTTTCAAACTTGGTGGCAGCTTCACAAAATGGGAAGTTAAACTCCTCCAAGTATTTCTCCCTCTCACGGGCCATGTTCATCTGCAGCAGGTTGGGCGATGGTGTTGACGGCGGAGTCAACACGCCATTCAAATTCGTCATGGCAGTCGTCTTGAAGTCCTTTCGTGAAACGTGAGGGCCAAAATAATGTAGCCTAATTAATATAATGACCTATAGGCAATTAGTGGATAGCCAGAATATAGGGCACAGGAATATAAAATATGAGAATAGTGAATACGAGAGCCGGAGAGCGACTGATTGCAAGTAGCTAGATGGTAGGACCACGATAAAGAAGAAAACTACAACATTGTAGGATAAACCCGATAAAGCATGGACAGATTCTTTTATATTTTACGGAATAAAGCGACTTCACAGTTTACACTGCCCCAGTGTTCCGTGATAACAATATGTCGCTGGGATTGGCTGAATCTTGCGGTTACTAAGCGGTATACAGCAATGTTACCATGGTATATTGTATATACCAGAGAGAAGAATCAAATCCTTCCAGTACCGTTTCCTATATTTTAATCACACATTTACATCAAAACAAAAACTTGAATAGTTGAATCACTTCATCACATTAAAATTACCATATATCAAAAAATGATTTTTTCCGGAAATCACGGTTTACTTTACGTTATCACTGGGTAGTACCGTGGTGTGAAGTCACCTTCAGAATAATGAATGCTGTTTGGTGATAAGAGTCTGATTATCTTTTGACCTACACAATAGTTGTTTAAATTGAAGTAATATCCAAAATTACATTAATTATTCTGCGAAATATTTGTGCTAACGCTTAATATTGTCACAGAATAAATTAAATTAAATTAATTTATTTTTAATCAGTTCAAGGCCGTAACTAGGAAATTAATTTGGGGGGGGGGGGGGTCATATAAAAAAATTTATTCTAATTTTATTATATTCTTTGAATTCCGTCGTGGTTTTCAACCCACCGAGTATCATTGATGTCAGTTTAGTCCACTTAGTATTAGGTACTATGTTTTTTATTTTAGTTTTTAATACATTAATATATAGTTATTTCGCTACCACATAATGTACCTAACACGAAACAATTTCGGGGGTAGATACGGCCTCGAATCTGTTTATTCTAAGGGGCGTCCACAACATGTTCCAATTTATTTATTCCAATAGACGTTTGTCCCAAAAAAAGTTGTTCTGAATAGTTTTTGGAATAAATTGCTAAAAATAGCAAATGTAATCTAGATAAAAGTACACCGGAACAAATGTTTTTGTGATAACGAAATAATCTGATACAGATTTCACAAATTGAAACCTGGTTTTATTCCCTTCATATTTTTTTATTTCATTAAAATTAGAATTCTTTCGAATTAATGATTGTTTTGTTCCTACGCTTCCACTTTTAATACATACTTCTACTTGATGTTATTCTGCTTACTAGTTTCAATAATAAACAATCCATTAAAAGAGTGGCCTAATCACTGGATTTACCTGTTATATTAATGTAAAATTGTAGTGGCCCAATTACCGTTTATCTTATTGAAAAAAGGTTCACCATAGTCCATAGCTCATTTTCCAGGCACCAAAAAAAAAACATTAAAAAGTAATAATTTGAATTCAATGTTAAAGCCAGTGATTTATTCGATTGTACAAATTACTGTTACTTTAAAATGTTAATTAAAAAATGGTTGTATGAATGTAGGATAGGTAATCAATAATAAAGATACCTAACAAGTAACAAACATATTGTACAATGTAACGTCAACAATTATTAAATTATATCATAAAATAATAAAATAGGCATATCATAATATTTTAGATGGGTAGGTAGCAATTTCATTAAGTCTCTAAACCGACAGCTTTTAAAGCCTGAACTACCCCATCAAATTATCACAGTTCTGAAATTAAATAAGATCGAACTATCTTCTTTATTTTAAAAACCGATTACATACAAGTCGGCTATTTAATATTCTAGTAGGTATACCTATCTACACAGTTCATGTAATCATGTCCATTAATTTGTGTTTCGGAATTAGAAGATATTTAAAGGATCTCGATGATATTCTCATAATTGATGAGTTAGGTACAACCTAATCTCATATTCGATAATGGTATAAATTTACCAACAATAAGTTATAATGATATTTAATCTGAAGTTTCTGTTACTTTGGATTTACCTAACGTTGAAGAAAGTAACATTAAAAATCCAAATAATTTAAGTATAAAATCCTTAAGCCCCCTCAAAAGATGCGGTTTTTATTTATAGGAGGTGGGTTTTCAAACTTTCTTGGCTTCATAAGAAAAAATAGTTCTCGACACCACTGGCGATGATTCTTGATATTTATTTTAAATCTATAGGATCTATATAAATTTATATCACTTAATTATACAAAAAGATACTTCAAATTTGGTAATAACAACTTTTTTTTTGACTAATAATCAGTGTACTTATGCTCGAACGTTTATTGACACTCAAAAAATGTTTTTAATATCTAAGTGACAAAACTTAATTCCATGCTAAAATTATTTTGATGATTTATAGCCTCACCAAGATTATTTTCTAAATTGCTACGAAGTTGGAGTAATGAGTATGGGGCATAAATTATATAAAAAAATAAATTAAGATAGCAAAAATTATAATCTTCATAATGTTTAAACTATTTTAAATTGGAATAAATACAGCATAGTAAAATATATTATTTTATCACACATTAATTGTATAGTAAAAATAATAATTATTATTACTATAGACTATAATAATAAAATATATTTAGATTAACAACTAAACTCATATTTTGAAATATAAATAAAACCATTACATTTTTACAAAAATCTACTTATTCCTATACCTAAGATATATACAGTTAATAAGTATATGCAGAGTGATTCAAAATTTAAAATTTATGTTACAGCCATTTTATCATATAAATATTCAAAATAGTGAAAAATATATAGCATAATAGTTTTTTGATTTAGAAACATTAATAATTTAATATGCTTTCATAATTTTATGATTGTTTAAAATATTTTATGGCGGGGGGAGGGGGTCATCTTTAGAAATTCAAATAGAAACCTATACTTTTTTTATATAGATCCCAAGCATAGAGTTTTGTATTAATTAACGTTGATCATGCCCTACAATTTATTTAAAAAGTGCCTTCACATTATGTTTGCAAAATAAGTATAGGTTCTCATTTGAATTTCTAAAGCCGACCCCCAATAATTTTAATCAATTAAAATTGAATCAATTAATTTTTAATTTATTTATTTATTGAATTAAAAATGTTCAACTCATTGGATGCAAAGTAATGATCTCTTAAATAAAAATATACTAAATTGGCAATTACTTCTAATGAAAGATATTAGCTAAAGTTATTACATTAAAATTTGTCAAACTAAAATTATTTATTTATGCCACTTAATTTCTCACCAATTTATTGATTTATTTTATTTAATTATAAATTTATTATACTTCAATTATATTAAAAATATTAATATTTTCAGGGCGGCAACGTGCACGTTTACTAACCGTTACGGGACTCGATATATAAACCGGACGATTACTCTTAAGGCTTAATCAGTATCCGTCTTCAGTCAATACCCAAACATATTCGAGAAACCGAAGATTTGGAGATCCGAAGAGTCGTGACCAGAACAGCAGAAGCATGGGCGCCCATTGGGGGGTGGGGGCAAGACAGGGCACTTGCCCTCCCCCCCTGGAAAAAAATATTATGAACTTGTAGCTCAATAAATATTACCACAATATTACCTTATTACCGAAATTTTTTATTTTGACCCCCCCTAAAATGTTACCTATGTGCGCCCATGAGCAGAAGTAGCCGTCGACCTCATATAGCTGCAGTCATTCGCAGACTAAGAACGAACGGGTGGCCGAGACCTCGTCATACGATTACCGACGAGCTTGAGTTGTGCCATTCCCGAGTCTGTTTCCACCTAGTAGTAGCCGCTTGTTTAAGTCACGCGCCACTGGTGGATAGCTCCATCCCCAGATATTGTTAATACTAAATACCATCTAATAAAATATTCCCCTCATTGTATATGAGCTCTCACCGCGTCGGATCCCTTAGGTAAGCCCATGCAGGCGACGTACCTGTGATCCTCACTGTCCCTATCTATGTAAAATAACTTATTTTTGTAAAATTTAGAGTAAGACGTGAGATACTATAAATCGTCAAATCGACATTAAAAAATTATTTACAACCATACGTTGCCTAGTGCCGGCGTTCCGCATCAGACCTTATATATTTTGTTTTCATTATCATATTGTAAACGTTTTGAAAATGGTTGTAGGTTGGTTTAATTTTGATGCTGGGCACCAAATCCGCATCCATCTGTATCCGGATTACTGATCCGGAGTAATGTTATTAATTCTAACAATAAAACTCAAACAAAAAACCCGAAAATCCACGTATTCTAGTTTTTATCACATCGTGCATATTATATACTCCATGATGCAGCACTGCTATCTTCAGTTTTCACTGTTTTTAGTTCTTTAAAATATCTTATTTTATATGATTTCTGGTTTTAACTAGGTTCACGGATTCAATCTTTTTATCCGGTCTTTGTGAATCCAAAATCTTCATTGACTTATTGGATCCTGAATTCGGATAAACCGGATTTTGCATTCAATCCTTCATAAAAAAATTCAATCTGGATAACGGATTGATGAAACGTTTGCCCAGCACTCGTAGGTTTAGGAGTATAAACATTGAATGTATTAAAAACCATAAAGAATCCTCATAAATACGTTTATTATGACTTATTGGTTATAAAAAATCTTTTTTTACAATTTCGTACAACCAAAACATAATTTTGTTCACCCAATCAAACCCGAGAAAACCCGATTTTGCCATGTGCATGCTGGATAAACGTTTAGCTAGCACTCCTTTTGCCAAAATGCGTATAAAATTATATTTTGGTTGGACAAAATTGTACGAAATAGACTACATGATACTGTAAAGGTTTGGTATTAAAATTTGAAAGTGACAGTGCTGACGAAACGGACCTTTTATGTGTATATCGATACTTATTTACGATTTTTACGATGAAAACTAGTTCATGTTCAATCATTCGAATTAAAAAAAAATAATGATAGTAATAAATAATAATACAGTAGAACTCCGATTATCCGGACTAATTAATATGAAGGGTGGTCCGGATAAGCAAATATCCGGATGATTGACGTATGATAAATCAAAAGTTATATAATTGTATGAATATATTGTATGTATGTATTTATTATNTAATTTAAAATTCATTATTATATTAAAATAACAATTTTTCCTATGAATAATTGGTTTTCGAGTTATTTTAAGAGCGTATACCCGTAAAATGATATTTTACATTGGGTATACGCTGAAAA